TTCTCGTTCAGGCAGGCTGTTTCATGTTTTTCTAGCTTCCTTTTGTTAGACAGGATTTCCTTCAAGAATTTAGCATGGCTAGACATTTGGGCAGTTGCATCTGCAAATGGAATATTGATGTGTAGTTTCTTAAAAATGTTTGCTACTTTAGCTGGTGGGAAGAATTTGTTGCAAAATTTCCTGATCAGTTCTTCCCATGTGGTAATACTTCCATTAGGTTCGACATTCAGCGATTCCATTGTAGCATCTCTCAGCATATAAAGGAATAATCGCAGCTTGATGGCGTCCTCATTAACCTCGGGTGCGTGACAATTCTGACAATTCCTGAGAAACATGGAGATGTGTGTGTGTTTGGATTCTCATGAGGTAGCCCATAGAATTACAAAGTGTTACTCATCAAATTAATCAAATCAGCCCGTATCTGAAAGTTGTTTACCCCAAAATCTGGATACACAATACTGGACTATGTAGGTGCTACTATAGGTGTTAAGAATATAGACACTAGCAAGTCCCCTTCATTTACTTCTCTTTCTTTTCCTCTTGTTGTTGATTTCTTGCGGACATTTGTCCAATTGACTGTATAAGGATTGGATTGTTTAGATTGTCGGTCATCTGATATTGCTGTTTTTATTTGTATTCCCTGCGTTATCGTCTGAAGGTACGTTCTATTTTTGAATCAAACGGTTCAAGATCGTCGCCTTGGACACGAAGCATACAACAAACACTTTTCTCTGAAAATAAAGAAAATAAACGAATCCAATAACATTTAAAAGTAAATTAAAATTAAGACTAAACGTAATAGTCCCCGATAACGGCGCCAAAAACTTGTTGTCAATTTTATTTCCGCAAGTGTACGAGTTAAGAGTCCGGATATCGTTCCCACGAGGACTACTATTTAATAATTTAATTATTCCTAACTTTAACACAATTATTTGAAAATATATGGACGCACACAAAGAGTGATTTAGAACTTAAATAATGAATAGACTTTAGGACACAATAATTTCACCTATTGATTACCTTTACATCTTAAATTAAGATTCACATCTAATATAGTGTTTGGTCGAATTCTCCTATTGTATTTAATTTACCCCTCTCGAGTTCTTATTAAGTCTATTTAACTAATTAAATTCCATGTCTCTATACAAATCTAACCTAGTTAAACGAGTTCTTTATCCTAGAAATTCAATTATGACCGCAATAATTAGTATAGGTATCTCTACTCGTTATACCATTTTATCAAATTTTACTATATGATTTAAATCCTAAACCCATATCTCTATTCATAAAGGATTCATGAAATCATCAAATTAGTGTTCAAGTAATTTAATGGATTAAATTTATAATAAAATCAACACATGAAACAATAAAGACTAGGAATCTTAAATAAAATATGTAAAGGGTCCCAAATTGGTTACATATTCGCCCTAACAAGAATTTTAGCTATTCAAAATCGAGGACGAAAAACAAATAAAAATAGTGGAGTCTATCATCAGGTTTTGAATTTAGATGTGGGGGAGTGGATAAATCTTGCACCAAATTCTTCTTCTCATTCCAAATCTAGATTTTCAACCCCTTGAATTGTTGTTTTTCTCCTCTTGAGCTTGCTCTCTAGTTCTCAAATTCTGTTCTTGCCTCCCAATGTGCAGAATCCCCTTCTCAAAGTGTGAAAATTGTGTTTATAAATGCCTTCTCGTGTGTGTAGAAAATAGGGTTTTTATGGATTTCAAAATGGGTCAAAAATGCGCCCTAGACGCACCCAAGCTTGGGTGAAAATTTCCGGCTGCGCTTCTTTCGGTATTTTTATCATAATTATTTCTCCCGATATTCGATTGAAATAATTCAAGATGCATTGAAAATCTAACTCAAAGGGCTACAACTTTGATTCAAACATCATTTTTTAAATTTGATCATTTCCTACGTCAATAATGGGTCTCAATATGTGGCTGAAACCGATGCATAACTTTTTTTGGTTGGAACTTGATGTGTGATCATACTTTGATTATATTTTATCTCTTTGACGTGTTTCTTTATCGAATTGACTCCGAGCAATCTTGAATCTTCATCATGAGGTCCAATACAACTTTTGAGTATTTGCACTTTAATCCTTAAACTTTGGATCTCTTACAACTTCACCATTTTCTCGAATTTTGCCCACTTTGGCTTCTTCCAATTTCTTGTACCATTATTGAATTTAACCTATTCAACACTCAATGCAATAATTTAGAACATAATTTATCCGAAAATTAACTAAATATCATTGTTTTAAAGTGTTGAATAAGTGTATAAAATACATTTATCAAAGAACATATATGATACAACCGTGTATCAAGTATCATGATAGCCAAGGGGGACCAAAAAAGGAAAAAAAAAAATTATACTGGATTGATAAATTAAAAAAAAAATCATGAAAAAATAAATTTCCCTTTAATTTTTTCTTTTTACCTTACAAATTTAATTGGGCTTAGAAACAAGCATGGGCTAAAGCCCATACCTCCCCTATGCCCCTGAAGATGGCTCAGCCAAGTCATAAAGTTGTAACATATATAAGTTATTGCACAAAGCCTCTTGTACATGGCTGTACAGGGCATCTCACATGAGGGTTGGACCCCACATGTGGACCCCATGTGTGGGGTCCACCCCATGCGTGTGTACGTGTACAGGCTCTGTGCAACAGAGCCTGTGCAGGTAGCACAGCCCTAAGTTATTTGACACATCTTGTCGAACACCTATGGAGTGCATGTAATCTCAAGTCTCGACCATGTTCGTTGCATGGAAATGATGAAGTATTGCATCTCAACTCGAATCAGCATATAAAAGCTTAAAATTTTCACAGTCGATAAATAATAGATAACATTGATCAGACAATTATAAAGAACATATAACCGTCTTGAAGGTGACTACTCAAACAGAAAATTTTCAGCAATCAACATTTCGAGTTCTCGTTTTGGGTTAGACAAATTGAGTGTCAAAACAAAGGTCACCACACCAATGACCTCTTTAGGTACAGCTTGCAATGACCTCTTAAGGATAGTTGTCCGGTTTTAGAAAACAATCCATTTAACTTTTAATTTCTACATATTTGGTCATTGAGCCCAACTTTCTAACTTTATTTAATCGAGTTCCCCATTAAATCATAAATTTTCAATTGGACCCTTACTAATTTTTTTAAATCTCGATGTTATATATTTTTGAATTTAAATAAATTCTAAAATAATGACATGAATTTTCTGAGCCTTACAACAAATATAAAAATTACTTCAATAGAGGTACGTTTCAATTCAATATTTTGTTTGTTTGGGATTTGATTGTGTCCTTGCATTGAAAGTCAGATGAACTATATTAGTGATATTAACCCAACAAAAGATGGTAGAAGTCATTATATTAGGATCTCCTAAAGAGATATATTAAATCATCAAGTTGTTCCAAATAGGGAAATTACATTATTGGCTTACTATAAAATATTCAATCCTCATTAGTCCTTGAACTTTAAAAATGAACAAATTAGTCTCCAACTTTAGAGTTTGTTGCACGGTCAATTTCAAAAGATGAAAATGACGTAAGTCATTTAAATTTTTGTTAAAGTGTCATTTCATGTTCAACTTTATAAAGTTAGGTTTTGTTTCGACTTGCATTAGTGTTCGAGAATTTGAAGTGAAACACGTTTTACACAATGATCTAGTCCATATATATATATACTCAATCCTGAATCCGCTCCTGATTTCACAAGGGTTATATTGTTACAATTTGTTCATAGAGACTAATTGTAGAAATAATGAATATTAAAGACCAACTTGCTTATTTTCAAAAGTTGGGGATCAATGGTGAAATTTCTTCCCATGTAGGTATATATAATTTTATGGGAAAATTGCAATTGAGGTACCAAACCTCTCGTTTATTAGTAGACTTTGCCCAAACCTTTAGTTTGTGCCACCGGAGATACCAAATCTTCAAAAAATTCACATCCGGAGTCCAAATTGACAGAAACTGTTAGTTTTTTTTGACTATTATTGATCAAAAATTAAATGTCTAACTAATTGTTGACTGATTTTTAAAGGGGCAAATGTGTAACTTTGTATTTTCATATAAAAAATTTATATAAAAGAATTATATTTAAAACCAAAAAATAAAAAACTACAATCATCATCTCCACTCACCCCCCCTCCACATCCCCACTTCCCCCTCCCCAGCGAAAACCAAAAACTAGTTTGGTAAATGAACAAAACCAGTTTGCACTTTCAAAATAACTAGCTGCGATGAGAATGACTCGTGAGAGGAGAAATGGGACGAGAATGAGAGGATATAGTTGGGATATTTGTAGGATTTGAGGGGTTGTTTGGGAAGAAATGGAATTGAAGGTTTTAAGGGAAGAGAGTAAAAGGGGGCAAAAAAAAAACCAGTAAATGAAATGGGCATTTAATGGATTTTTATCTTCTTTCTCCCAAAAAGTAGTCATACAAATGCACTGGTATTCGATGGGCTCTTGTTAATGGGCAAAGAAGGGTTTTTATTTTCTTTCTACCAGATTTTACTGATTTTTGGAGAGTGGGGAAAATGAGTTGCAAGGTTTGAAATTAGTTTTTGAAATTTCAATCAAGCTACCGGCGATGGTGAGGAAGTCAGTGAGATTCCAACTTTGATTTTATTGGGAAATACCTAGTTTTGGTTCTTGGTGGGTAGAGAAAATGACTTTTAGTTTTGGTTGGGTGGAGAAGATGACTATTTTTTATTTTTTTATTGTTTTATTTAAATTTTTTATATGAAAATGTAAAATTACACATTTACCCCATTAAAAATCAGTCAACAATTGGTCAGACCTTTAATTTTTGGTCAATAATAATCAAACTAACGGTTTCTGTCAATTTGGACTCCGGGTGCAAATTTTTTAAAGGTTTGGTACCTCCGGTGGCACAAACTAAAGGTTTGGGCAAAGTCTACTAATAAACGAAAGATTTGGTACCTCGGCTGCAATTTTCCCTAATTTTATAACACCAGCAGAGGAGTACGGGATTTTAAGCAGCGGCGGAGAGTATCGGCAAATTCATGGGGAATCCCAAGCAGAAGTGGACCTCCGAAGAAGAAGAAGCACTCCGGGCGGGCGTGGCGAAACACGGCGCCGGGAAATGGAAGAACATACAGAGAGACCCTGAGTTCAATCATCTCCTCTTTGCTCGCTCCAACATTGATCTCAAGGTAACTTTGAAGATAAAATCAATGTACGTATGCATTTGTGTGTATTTATGACTTTTTACTGCCAAATGTGTATATACGGCAGCATGTCCGTCAATCACTGATGTAAATAAAGAACGTTAATTAGAGGAGATTTTGATATTGATTCAAGGCGCGTGAAAGTTAGAGGAGGATTTAGTGTATCTTTTTTTAGCTATTATTGTGGTTAAACTAAAATTTGTTACGCAGGTATTAGTAGTTTGAATTTAGGGATGCTCCTGGTGGTGAATATGAGTTTCGTTGATAGCAAGTGTCGTCGAATACGCCCCCATTGAATCTTGGTGGGAAATGCTTCTACGATAAAAAAATTTTACTTTCTTTAATGGCAGTCGTCACTGAATTTTGCAAATAAGATAGCATTTTAACCCTATTGAAATTTTGGGGGAATGCTTCCACAGTAAGAATTTTACTTTTTCAATGTCAGAAGTCATAGTCGCACTTAATTTTGAAAAAGAAATAATATTTTTTTTTTTATCGATTTTCATTTTAGTTAGTGTTGTACTGTGCAATTTTATTAGATCAAATATTAGGGGTAGTGAGACTGATTTAACAGCAGAGAATATTTTTGTTTGCATGTATCTAGTTGGCTCCAGGCAGTCGTGGAAATATTTTTTCCTCCAATTTCACCTTGGCTTTATTTATGTTTGCAAATGATGTTTCTGCTATTTGTTCATGCAGTAAAGTTATACTCGAAGAATATTGTGAATTCATCACTATCAAATCACTGATGTCATTGCTTCAGCTTGATAAAAAATGCAGTTTCAAACAAAAAGTTAATATAGTTTTCTTGTGTTACTTATTTTCTCTCGCAGGATAAATGGCGGAATTTGAGTGTTGCCAATGGTCAAGGATCACGAGAAAAATCAAAGACGCCTAAAGCAAAGGGCAATCCTGCTGAGTCTCCTGCTACTCCCTTGCCCAATGTACAGACCCCTGCTTCTGCCACGCCACTGTCACAGGATGCTTCAATGGATGTGATTATGTTAGATTCTTCAAAACCCTTTCCTGAAGGAAATAATGCTTCAAAGTGAGTTATTTTTCCTCTGCTATTAAGATATTGTACATCATTTGTTTGCTTGCATATTATTTTATCAGGTAGGTCTGTCATTTTTTATGTATTTCCAACTGGTAAGTGTCATCTTGTGATAATTTGGTTTTGATTAACATCAAAGCTAAAGCGGAAAACGAAAAACTAGAAAAAATGGACCAGAAGTAAACTAACCATTTTTTTTTCCTTTTAGTTGTGCTGGTTTTCTTCGTAATTGGTCATCCAAATCGAGTTGTTTTACTTTGAACCTTGTTAAAGATAGAAATTCAGTGCAGCCAAATTCATGCTTAAAAAAATAGATACCAGTAATGCATTCAATTGTAGAATCTTGATTACAAGTCAGGATAGTCTTGTGTCTGTTCAGTTATTTTGTGTATTCACTAAATACCAGTGGTTGTCTTCTACTTTTTTTTTTCACTTATTTGGTGGAACATGCTGTTGGTGAATTACTGAAAACCCATAAGTCATTTGTTTTGATGCACTCATGAAGCAATTTCACTTCTATAATTCCTCACCTTTGCGACCATGTTGTCTGCCTTGCCTCTCTGAAATGCATGGGGCCTTCTTTCAATTTGCAACCAGATGTTGCCCGGCACTTAAATGAAATACATACCTATCCATGCATTAGATAAATTATTTGTATTTCATTGATATGGTTGAGTTTGGCAGTCACAATTGGAATTACTTGGAATAGATGATGGGTATATGCCTGAAGGGTACCTATCATATTGCTCTACTACTCCAGCAGTGAGTCTATAACAAAAGGAAGAATTAGTTACAGAAGTATTGCTAGCCTTTGTTCTAGCATTAGAATTAATGTCTTCTGGTGATTGGGCAGTCAAGTTTATAAACAAATCAACAAAAGAATAATGTAACTTAGACTAGTAAATCATTGCCAGTTTTTACATATTACTGTTTCTATGATACATAGGATTGGTTTAGTAAAAATATACATCATGAGATAGTGATTGGTCTAGATTAAGAGTTAATCAAGTTGTAACCCCAGATTAAGTTGATTGTGTAGAAATAGGTTGTTATGAAAATTTGTTGAACTCGGGAAGTTTCTAGACAGTCTTTGATAGGCTTTCTGAATAAGAGATGTTTACTTGGCTAATCTGTACATTAGCTATATGATCAAATCTTGTTGTAGACAGGTTCTGAATTTGCACAGCCTAATTTGTTGTGGGGACAGGTGGAGAGAAATTCACTATGGCTCTTTATTATGGTTAAATACAGTACATTAAGTCCTATATTCCCCTTCTTCTGGTTGCACAACCTGAAGGTTGAGTTCCATTAAGAATAAATTGTCAACTTTGATATTTTAACCTAACTGAGCAGTGCTGTCAGTAACATCATGAAATGCAACTTTGAGTTTCATTCAGGGCCATATGGTTTGTTAAGAGCCTGCCAAATTCCAGCGAAAGCATGCCCTTGGATGCTCTTTCTGAATGTAAACATTACAGTTGTAGAGTCAGGTCACGGAGGATTGATTCCCGAACTGTAGTTTGGAACTGTAGAATGTGACTACTATCAGTACAATAGCACTACCGTTTTGCCATGTTTGTTTTACAAAATACAGCAGAGCTAAATATATATTTAATTTTTGTTTTTCTGTTATTCCCTCATTTGGCAAGAAGCAATTGAAATTTTGGAAGGTGAAAGAAGATTTTTCTGCTTCCAGTCAACATCTATACTTCTCAATATGCTTCAGATTGATTTTAGAAATGTGTACTCTGCTTCTCCACTGGTTTACTGTGTGTTGGTTTTTTGTTCATCATTTTCCACTTAAGAGGGCTTCATAGCATGTTGATAAGAATGAACTAAGAAATTGAAATTTGATTTTTGAATCAATTCACTAGATGCATAAAGTATCTTATTCAAACTGGATGTAGTTATGCAAGTTGGATCAGATAGGTCAAAAATAAATTGCCTCCAACTCTTGCATATCAAGTATACCCAACCTAATTTTTTTTTTTTTGTAATCTGGTCTTGGCAGGTGATTGGGCCGAACTTTTGGTTTTAGAATTTTTGTGAGTGGTAGTTTAAGTTACCTTGGGTGAAAGTTACTAGTTGCTTTAGTTAATGAGGCGGGCCACGTTTTTATAAGAGAACGGAGTGGAGTAAATGCTGTATTCCAAAAATTTGATCGTTCAGTTTTTATCTTTGGGTTGATGGAGCTACAGCTCAGTTAAACTCATGAAGAAAGAGAAGAAATAAACCTAATTTTTTTACAGTTATTACCAACATCAATGTTCCTGCATCTTATTCAGTTAGTAGTACCTTTTTCTTTATGATTTATTACATCACTCATTTCTTGGATATATGGCATCCCTTCTTTGTTCTTAGGTACAATTCAATGATATATGAAGCACTCTCAACTTTGAAAGAACCAAATGGATCAGATTCCAGTGCACTTGCTAATTTTATAGAGGTATGATGAAATTTAGATAATCTCTATTCTATTTCTAAATTCGCGAGTCTTGTTGGGCGCCATAGTTTAGTTTTAGAGCTAATTTATTATAGTGTTTGAGCCTTTGAGATGTGTTTTTTGTCTGGTGGAAATCTGCTGGAAAATGTCTCTCGTGTTAGCCTTAATACAAGTTGCATCATATGTAATTGGCCAGATGGCAAATCCACTTTTGTACCATCTCAACTTTTACTATAATGAACTTAGCCACCGTTTGGCAAATTTATAAATGGTTTATAAATAGGAATAGCATTGGGTCCCATGAAATGTGTGGATAGTAATGTAAAATAGTTATGAATATGATTGAAATTAACGTTTGACTTTTGAGTGAATTTATAAATTGTGTCTAAACGTTTGGCTGAGATTTTGACTTTTAAAACTTATTTTTGCACTTCTAAAAAGATATTTCGATGTCAGTTGTGATCTCTTGTCCTTGCAAAGGACACTCAGTGATTGTAAATCTTTGATAGTATGATTATAATATGTCAACGAACTTTTCCTTACTCTTTATGGATTTCTGTTGGCACCAGTATTAATTCTATTGGTTATAATCCCGGACAGACTCTGTCACAACTCACAACTGTTCTGTACAAAAGTTTCTCTGGCTGTTTATTTTATTCCAGCTTACTGCATTTTTGTCCATTTCTGCAATTTTAAGAATTCCCATTTCTATGATTGGTCTCGCTTCTTGCGATACTGATGTGCCCACACTTGCATAGCCTTTATAAATTGTTTCAAAAGGCCATTGGTGGTTCTTTCATAACAAAAATATCATTTGGAACATCAAAATGCTATATATTTTTCATTTCTCTCGGCTTCTGCTTCAAAACACTTGACCATCTGTTGCTGAAATTAATCATGTTCAGATTTGACATCCTCATTTGAAAATTCTGTTAGTTGTGAATTGCATTTTGTGATAACTGATTATCCAATATCCTAACCATATCTCATGCTGAATATTCTATTGAGGTTTTCTTGCAAAACTTGAGCTGAAGAAAAGTAATAATATTTTTTTTGTGCGTGTTCCATAATTTGTGCAGCAAAGACATGAGGTACCCCAAAATTTCAAAAAGCTATTGAGTTCAAGACTAAGAAGGCTTGTGCAACAAGACAAACTTGAAAAGGTGAATTTTGTTAATTATATCATTCTTTGGGGATGTCTTTTGATTTTATGCTCCTTATTCTCAAAATTTATCGAAATTATTCGAAATGGAATAGTGTTCAGTAAATTTTAAGTAACATTCTCATTGAAGTAGCCTTCAGTAAGTTTCAACTTACTTTAGGTTATATGCTGAAACAATTCATCTTTTGAACAAAATGAGTTCTGTTATCTCTTGCGTTTCTTTGCTCATAATTTGATACAACCATTGAAATTATGGTCTGTTACCTATGGTAGTTGGACACGTTTTTCTATGCTCATTATGTTATGGATTTAACATACCTAAATCATGTCAACATTCTAACAATCCCACCTAATTTATGCAATTTCTAAATGCAGATTCAGAATTGCTACAGGATCAAACGAGATTCCTTGGCTGACACAAAAACCCTTACCACAGTACAGAAAGACTTCTGGCCTCAGAGTCGGAGCATTGGGTATCTGGGCGATACGGTGGAAGAAGCAGCAGTGGAGGCCGCCTATAAAATTGCAGAAGCAGAAAACAAATCTTTTGTGGCGGCCGAAGCTGTCAAAGAGGCAGAAAGGGTCTCAGGGATGGCTGAAGACATGAATTCTCTGCTGCAATTTGCACTGGATGTGTTCGAGCAAAGTAATATTGGAAATCCAGCTTCTTTGCCCTTTTTTTCCTTCTTTTTCTAAGTAAATTTTTTAATTTACCTCCGATTTTGTTTTCACATTTTCAGGTTTAAGTGGTGAAATTCTCCTGATGGCATAAGATCTCGGCTTGTGTACCCTGGATTCCTTCAGAAATTTGTAAATAAGTTACCATCTGGTTTTGTTTGTTACAATTACAGTAAATTTAATCTGGTGTTACATCAATTATATTATAATACTAGTTGAATGGATCTTGTTAAAAGATTCTATTATAATGAACTAGATTTTAAAGTATATGTCTTTCTTAATATCGTCTTTTATTGTTTAGTCTACCTTAAGAGTTATCCTATATTAGTATTGTTGTAGGTCGGAGCATGTTCATTTTTTTTTATATCAAGTGGGCAAATATTAAACCCAAAAGTTAACATGGTAAAATGCACAGTGTGGTATTTATAAGGGTGGTTATTGCCACCACAATTTATATTTAATTTATTTCGGACTCATTAGTACTTTTTAAAAAAATTTAGGACTATAATTTTAATTAGTTCTTTTTTATTTCCTTTTGTTTTATTATAGAGATGTTTACCACAATAATAATGTAAAATAAGGACGTCATGTGGTAATTATCCTTTTATAGATGAAATGAATAATGAAAAGTGCATAATATTTGTGAGTTTTGCGAAAGTGAAAATTACATGGTAGCAGGTCTTTGAAGATCACAATTCAAAAATCAAGGACCAAGTTTAATTGTTCAAAAACCAAGTTTTAATATAATAATTAAATATTAAATATTCAAATTTAATTTCCAAACCCTAATATTTTTATGCCTCTTCCATCTCTCACCTCTCTCTCTTTCTAACTTCAGTCCCCCCCACCCTGATCGACAGTCATCGCCTCTCTTCGGTGCGGTCGTCATAGCACTCAGTAGGGAGTAAAACCTCCATCACTGTGAGCGCCGTGGTTTCGTCTTCGATGCGGTTGCCTTCTTGCTTCGTGGTAAAATCTCCGTCTCTATGGTCGCTGGTTCGATTTTCAGCAGTGGCAGTGTCGAGAATGGAGGTGGTGGCGACTGGTGGTGGTGGTAGTGGTGGTTTGGGCTGATGTGGTTTTCAGCTGGCGGCGTAGGTGTGTTGGTAGAGGCTGCTTGTAATGTGAGCGACCTCGTCGCTGTCCGTCGCTCCGATTTTCAGCAGCGGCTTCGTTGGGTTGTGGTAGAGGCAAACCACAGCTGGCGGCGCCGGGGTGTGTTGGTGGAGGCTACTTTGTGAGCACCGTGGTGTCAAAACCCCGTTGCTGTGAGTGCCAATCTGATTTTCAGCGACGACGGCATTGGGGTGTGGTGGTGGTGGTGGTGGAGTAGTGGTTTTGGGCTGCCGTGGTTTTTAGCGGTGGTGGCGTCGAATTCTGGTGGTCGTGGAGGCTGCTTGTGGTGGTGGTAGTGGAGGTTTGGGGTTGTCGTGGTATTCAGCGATGGCGGCGTCGAGCTGTGGTGGTGGTATTGAGGCTGCTTGTGGTGGTGGTTTTGGTGTTGATGGGGTTTAGGTGGTTTTTGTTGGCTGTTCAAGTAGGGATGCTGGTGGCGACGGCGGATCTTGTTGGTGGTGTAGTGGAGGTGTTGACAGTGGTGGTGTCGGTGGTTGATGATGGTGATGGTGATGGTGGTGGTAGTGCTGTGGTGGTGTTGGTCGCGGTTGTCCGTGATCGATTATTTGGTGTATGTGATCAAGCAAATTTTATTGTTACCAAATTTTAACATAGACCTAGTGACAAAATTTTGAATTATGACCTGAAAAAAATTTGATTTGTGATCACGACATAATTTGTGACCAATTATTTTGTGACCTGTGACTAATGTGACCTTAAAATTTGATAATTGTGATCAACAAATTCGAAAATATGTGATTAATAGATAATCCGTGACCTATAATTTTTTATTTGTGATTGAAATTTGTGACCTATAAAATTTTTGATTTGCGACCTCGAAATAGTCTGTGACCAATAAAATTTTTGATTTGTGACCATGAAAAAAACTATGACCAACAAAATTTGATTTGTGACCAATTAATTTGATGATATGTGATCTTAAGTAAATTCGTGACCATTAATTATATAATTGTAATTTTTATTATATTTAATTATTAAACATTTTAATTAATTAGATAAAAACCTGATTTTTGCATAATTGAACTCAACCACTTTAATTTTGAAATGTGCATACTTAAAACATGGTTTGTGAATTTTTCCCTTTGCGAAATGTATAGATAAGCCCGAGTTTGGGCTTCACTTTAGGGGAAAAAAAATGTATTTCTCTTTTTTATTTTTAACTAAATTCTTTAATAAAAACCATTACGCGTTAACTCAAAATTTTTGTTCATTTTTTAACCGCACATTCTTAAAAAATCATTGTTTCAAAATGTGTTTTTTCCAAAATCCATTTTTAATGGAGCTCAAACCGGGGTCTTAAGTGTGCACGGGATCTTAACTTTCCATGCCTCAGTGAATCTATGTGTAGGGTACCTAAACCGTAAGCTTTGGGCTTAATGAACGCCTTGTGCGAGAATGATTTCCTTAGTGTTGGCAACACGATTAAAAGTTTTTAAAGTTCTTGGAAGACCCCAAGAATTGTTCTGAGGCAGTAATCTTGTAACAAATTAGAACAATACGAAGCTGAGTTCACTTGGTTTCAGAGCATTGCTTATTTGCTTAGCCAATAGTAATACAGATAACAGTATAGTTGGCCATCACCTTGTTCAAAATTGAGTTCCTTCAGAAAAGACATCAAAAGGCTTCTGTTTTGCTATAATAAGCGCAATCATTCATCAGTTGAAGCAATGGAATTCTAGTAGAGACGTGATAGAAACTGTCATGAATAGACCATATAATATGAAGAATACAAAGTTTACGTAGAAAACCAGGACACAGAAAAATTAAGTGCCAAGGAGGATAAATTCGCTATATCAAAGATAATTACAAGAGGTGCGACTACTCCGAATAATATCATATTATGCGTAGTGACGGACGCAGAAATTTTGAATTGATGGGGCACAATCAACATTACAACAATGTTATAAAAAAACAAAATAAAAACTTTCGATATCCAATAGAATGGTTTAATAGGATGCTTGAAAAATAAAAATAAAATGCTTGAAAAAAATATTACCGTTATATATGGAAAACCAAAGCATCTACATCCGATGACACTAGATCATCACTTATGAATTTAGACGCGAAAAATAAAATTTTATGAAATGAAATGAAATTATACAACTTTGGTCACCACTATCCAATATTTTATTTACCCAAAGGCCAAATGAAATTTTCTCATTCCAACAAAACACACATGCGGTATCTAACTTTCCCTACTCTCTCTCTCTCACCCCACAAACAACACTTCACCCTCTTTCCACTCTCTGTTTCTCTCGCCATGTTTCTTTGTACATGATACATACACAATACATGCAACTAAACATATATTTATAGTAGGCAATGTCGTTGGAAGAGCGTTCATCAAAATTCTAGACAACTCCATGAATCGATTATGAGGAATTCTAATGGAGGACTCTAGAATGGTGACAGTAACATCCAAGAGACTTCTCTTGATTTTTCTTAGGGTCCGTTTGATTGTAAAGATGAAATTTGGGTAGAAAGAAAACGAATTCTAGGGAATTGAATTGTCTAAAAATTGTTTTCGTGAGAATTGTAAATTATTGTGTTTGATTGGTATAATTTTTCACGTGAAAAATATTGAAATGAAAGTATTTTTTTGTGTTCGTTTGGTTTTGTTTTACGTGAAAATTGTCAATTAAAATGATAGAATTTACTGGTATTGAAAATGAAATTTGTTTCCATTGTCAACAAAAAAAACTAAAAACTAAAAAATTCAAGAAAATTATTTATCTTTTGGTGTTCGTTTAGCTTTGTTTTACATGAAAATTGTCAATTAAGGGGAAATATGTTTTTACAATAATTATTAGAATTTGTTTCCATTGCCAAAATAAATAAATAAATAAATTTGCTACAGTGGTCTAGAAAATGAATTCTCACCATAATTTATTTTCATCCAAAACCTAGAAAATGTCTAAGTGGCAAGGAATGGTGAAAATTGTTTTCCATTGCAAATGTTTCCTATTAAACGCTACAAAGGTGGAAAATGTTCGAATATTTTCCTAGTTCCATGAAATTCATTTGGTATCAAACATCGCCTTACAATAATTGCCTATGGATTAAGGAATTTCAACAATCTAGAAGCTTCAATGTATAGTGGTGATGATCTTCCATCACCATCCGTCGCATATGTCAGCTGAGTCTACCATAAAAAATCACTCATCAACATTCAAATATATCAAAATCAACTGCAGAAAGGAGGAGGAGGCTTAAATTGAATAGAATGGGTTTTGATTTTCCAAGGGAAGGGCTTTGATTTTTCAATTTGGATACTGAGTTCTTCTTCTTGGTTTTGCAAACTTCAAAGGAAAAGGAGGCTCAAAACTTACCCAATAAATAATAAATTTTGGAAGTTGGTGGGTCACGTGAAAGGCCCAAAAATTTTTTTTTTTTTTTTTTTTTTTTTTATAAAAACAGTTTTTTATGTGTAATTTTTTATCTCGTATTAGAACGGTTTGAAATTTTATAGCCCGATCTTGAATCCAATCCTGAATCCAGCCCTGATATTATGAAACATTAGTATACATCATATATATAATCAAACAGCTCTCAGCTTGATCCCTCTGCAGCTACCATAAATCCCAAATTTTCTTATAATTTTAGTTTCACCACTATGTCATATCGTGAGCTTTTTGAGCTAGACCAAACAGGATTCGAATCACCATACTCTAACAAAAACTATAAGCTACTTTTAGAGTTGAGTGATTCTAGTTATTAAGGATGGATGAAGGAAGGGCATAGAAGCTTATAAATTCTATTATATCATATGAGTATCTTGACTCTCAACAACATAACTATCGACTAAGTTCTCGAAGAAGCCAATGCTCCACTTCATTATCATCAAAATCAGGAGCTACAATGAATTTGTGACTGCTGACTATTGTGTTTCAACAGCCAAAATAATAATGAAATAAAATAGAAAATAATTACAAGAAATTTAAGTCTGTCAAAATATGGAAGCAAGTTAAATTACTCTCTCTAAAATCAATGTACTTCATAATTTGACTCAAGAGTACCCAAGAATCATCTATATTATTCATCATGATAGCCATGAATCATTTCTTTTGGTTAGAGGTCCAAATGTTTGTAGAAACTACAAGAAAAATGATATTTTACAACTAATATTTCAACGATCAAATCAATC